TTAAAAATATCACCCATATGTGTTTTAAATACGGGCAAATAGCTGGCACGACAGCCGGCTTCACACCCGAGTGCCATTCTGAGCTCGCCTCTTCTCGCTCCAACTCTCAGAATCGCACGTTGAAGGCCAGACAAGCCCAGAACGCCGCGCGCTGTGGCATCCAGAAGCTCTGCCACCCACAGGCCGGCTTTTCTCGGGAGGGGGGATCCGATGTGACCTGGGAAGGAAGCTAAGTGTTCTGGGCTAAGACCTCCACTCCAAGCCAAGATTGGCCAGGCATTCTTATAATCCTAGCACGCAGGAAGGTCAGGAGTTCAAGACCATCTTTATCTACACAGTGAGCTTGGGGTCAGGGCTATGCGAGTCCCTGTCTCAAAAAAAAATCCTTCACGAAGTCACGCTTATCAGAACATTGTCCATGATGTCACAGTGTGCTGTGCGCCTTAAGACCCACTTTGGGACCAGTGAGATGGCTCAGCAGGTAAAGGTGCTTGCCTCCAAGTCTAGCACCCCGATTTGTCTCTGACTTTCATGTATGAACACACACACACAGACACCCCACACACACCCCACACACACCACACATGCTCATGCAGGAAACGGATGGAGCAGAAAATGTTGCATTCCACTTTGTGTGCAGTTTTATGACCTGAGCCTCGCCCCATTTCATCGCTTTAATATCAAAACAATACCCCCCCAGCAGTGTAGATTATAGCAAGGACAGACTCAGCAAAGCACTCGGGCTGAGCTTCCAGCACGTGAACACTGCAGCATCCTCACACTGACCACTGTGACGTCACAGGCCCCGCGATCTTCCGGGCTCTGTCCCAGGTATTGCTGATGAAAGTGTGGTTGTGTCGTGTGTGGCTGTAGCAGGTGTGGCCAGTCCAGTTTTGCTGGAGTCCATATCCACGTGACAGACAGTCGCCTGCTTCCCTGTCCCTCAGCTGGCTGCCTCGGCGCTGAGTAGCACATCAAAAAACAGACCAGGGAGAAGCTCCTCCATGAGGGCCAGCCTCTCCTCCTAGCTCACTGGCTGGGAAGAAAGGATGCAGAGAAATAAACGTGGCTGCAGTAATGGATTAACATCTTGCTGGTCGGAGGCTCTAGCTCTGAAACTGCCTCCTTTTCTAGTTTTGGGGAGCAGGCGGCCAGAGCTTGGCTTAGTCACCCTTCCTGGAGTCGTGGGAAAGGCTTTGAGAACTGGAAGTAGGGTCATTGTAGGTGGGGACATCGAATGGCGAGAAGATTGCCTTTCCTCCTCTAGGTGTGGGGTTCAGCGTGAGTTATCTTGCTGAGCAATAGGGGACCCCATCTTTCGTGCATCTGGCCTGTGACCTGAGATTTAGACACCCTTCATGGAGAGGCAGCAGGCATCCTGGTCTGACCCTCCTGTCCCCAGAGCTCACTGGTGGTCCTGACTCTCCTCTTCCTGGGGGAGGGGGGTTGGCCATCCCTCTGTTCCTTCCTTTGTTCCTGTCTTCAGGACTCCTGGGGTGGCCACGGATTCATTACTAAGAATGTCTATGCATTTCCTGTTAAGAGGAACAAACCTGGGCAGGGCTCACTGAGTAAGAGTGCTTGCTGTGCAAGCGTGAGGACCTGAGTTCGGATCCCAGAGCCAAAAGGTAAAAACTGGGCATGGCCATGTGCACAGCTGTAAAACTGGCTCTGCAGGGGTCAGGGGTGGGAGGATCCCTGGGGCTTCCTGGCTGTGGCTTAGCTCCAGGTTCATTCAGAAAGAAATAAAGCTAAGAGGGAGAAAGCAGGTCATCGGCCATCTTCGTCTGTGCTCCAAGTGTGTGTGCGTATGCACACATGTACATACACATGTAGACACATACACATGTACACACATGTATGCACACACACACACACACACACACACACACACACACGCACACACACGGTTGGGGAGACACCAGAGTTAGTGTTCTGCTCCACCCTTTATCACGCTCTTCCTGGAGCTGGGCAGAGACTGGCTTCAGCCAACGGGGAGCTGTGGGAGAGAGATTTTCCTGTGGATCCTTTAGGAGACAGGGCACAGTGAGCAGGTATCTGCTTGTCCTTGGCTGACCCCAAGGGACAGGAGTGTGTCTTTCTGGGTACCGAGGAGGGAAGAGCCCTCACTGGCAGCCACAGACAAGAGGCAGGAGAGGACACTTGTGTTGAGCCACCATGGCCAGGGCTGTTCTCTTGTGTGCCCAGCTTCTCTCAACGGTCACCAAGGAAACCCCGTCCATGCCCCCCTGCCTTCACTGCCCACCAGACAGCTCCGCCCTTCCTCTCTCTTCCTTCTCTCCCTTCTGTCTTTGCCCTCCCCCTCCCTCCTCTCCTTTGACAGGGACTTCATAAATGCTGTCACAGTTAGCCTCAGCTCTCAACTCTACCGGGAGAGGGAGATGCCACTGGAGAATTTCCTCCAACAGTTTGGCCTGTTATAGACATGTTATGGCTTGCTAATTGATGGAGGGGGGTTCAGCCCACTGTGGGTGGTGCCATCCCTACACAGGTACGGCTACTTGAGTGTGAGCCTGGGAGTGAGCCAGCGAGCAGCACTCGGGGGTTTCTGCTTCAAGCTCCTGCCTGGACTTGCCGCGACGACGGAATGTGACCTGTAAGCTGAAATAGACTCATCTCTCCCCTTGGTACTTTTAGTTCTCCAGATTACACTGTGCACACATTTTTGGGGACAGACCCCAAGATGCCCTTCAGGGCACCAATTTCTCCTGTCCTGCCGTAGGAGGCTCCAGTTTCTTCACACCCTTGTTGACAACGGTGTCAGCGGTAACATTTGGCTGATGGGGTGCGTGTGTGCCCATGTGGAGGTCAGAGCACAGTTTGAGGGAGTTGGTTCTCTCCTTCTACGCATGAGTTCTGGGGGCGAACTCGGGTCCTCTGTTTTGATGGCAAGCCCCCTTTCCTGGTGAGCTGCGTTGCTGGCCCTCGTTTTGTTTTTGTTTTTTTCTCCCCGCCTAGGGCCTACTGAGGCTGAGCAGCGTTGTTCCAATTTATTGGTCATTAGAATGTCCTCGTGTGTGAATTACCCACCCAAGGGTGTTCTGTGGAACTTAACACGTGATCTTGATCTTGTTACAGGGCCTCTCTGGGGACATTTGAGTCTCCCTGCCCTTTCGAGACAGGGTTTTTCTCTAGCTTTGTAGCCTGTCCTGGAACTCACTCTGTAGACCAGGCTGACCTCGAACTCACAGAGATCCTCCTGCCTCTGCCTCCCGAGTGCTGGGACTAAAGGCGTGTGACACCGTAGCCCAGCTTGACACTGGAGTCTCTCGTGTTAAGTGCCAGTTTGCAGAAGTGACTAGAATTGCAGACGTTAACAACAGACAGAGCACAGCTCAGGGAGGTTGGAGGAGGCCAGGGGGTCCTCCTGTTTGTCACAATGACACCTATGGAATGACAGGCCCCACAGGGCCTCCCTTCCTGGGAGCCCTCCCCCCACTTCCCTGGGCTTGGCCAGTGCAGAGGAGGAGGCAGGGGTGAGTAGTGGCGGGAAGTGCCATTGCCTTCCCTGCAGGCTGGTTGCCTGTTCTGTTCTCTGAAGGAGGAAGCCGATGCCAGGGAGGCTGAGTGGCCGCATAGACCACACGGCAGGCCCCCATGGATTCAGGATTCAAACTTAGTCCTGCCGGGAAGCCCAGTGCAAACCTTTTAAATAGATCAAAGAGCTACTGTTCCCAGGCCCAGTCTCTCTTACTGTTTCCTGTGTCCCCGGCTCCCTTCACCCAGCAGTGGGCAGCATGCTGGCCCATCCCCCTGAGGCTCAGCCCACCAGCCATGGGGGCCATTGTATGGCTTCTCCTCCTCAGGGGTTGGAGGAAAGAGCATAGCTGAGAGGCACCCTAGTCTAAACACGGGCTTCAGACTCTGAGGACACTTCTGGACCTCCTTTGGGGTGTCCAAGACAGTTCATTGGGGAACAGGGGCATGGAGAAAGCTAGCCAGCTCTGGACTGGCCTGTCTGGATTCACCATCCCTATCTGAAGCCCCTGGGTCAGAGACATCATCGGTGTGCCTCAGTGTTCCCATCTGGGAAGTGGGTTCACCCCTCATGAGGTTGTGAAGCTAGTGAGCCAGTGAGTGGGCGCAGTGTCTGAGATGATAATTAATTCCAGTTATTGGATTGGGCTCCCGAGGGTCCCTGAGCTCCCTGCACTGAAGCCTCAGCCTCAGCGCCTGCTCTGAGAGCAGCTGTCCACGAGTGCTGGGCTCTGCACACATTTACCTTGACCCAGTGTAAAGAGGCTCCCACTCTGCATATGGGGAAACTGAGGTTCCAGGAAGTGGGGTGACCTGTCTAAGCTCACACCTAAGAAGTGGATGAGTCAGGGCTTGAATTGGATTTCAGAGCTGGGTCCCTCTGATCTTAGCCCCCCCCCTTTGTTTTTGGTCCCTGGAGGCCATCCTGGACCAGGTTGGGGAGACGCTGGGGCAGGGAAGTGGGCGTGGCTTCCGCGTGATTCTGTTTCTTCTAACTGCCCCCCTAGGAATTTGGACCCACGGACAGTGGGAAGAGGCACTAGGCTCGGAGACATGGAGTCACTTGCCTGGGCTACACGGCCAGGCGGGGGTGGGGCTGGGGTCCACCTTGTCTTTGAACTTGGGTCTGAGGCCAAATCTGACTCAGTGCCGCCCTAAGCTGCAGCTGCTTTGCAGCCTGTGTCATGATGTCACGTGCTTTTCCAATGTTTGGACTTAACCCAGATTTATAGCAGGAGAAGCTAGCCGTACCTCCCCGCCCGGGACCTTTTGGTATTGCTGCCTAGGGAAGGGAATAGGAGAGAGGGGAGCCCTTCAGTGGGTAGGGGACCCCCAAAATGTCTTTCCGGTTGTTACATGCCAGCTGTGGGACTGCCCAGCCTGCATGCTAGGTGGAGGGGGCCCTGGGTTGGAGCCCAGTTGGCATGTACACACCGTGTCCACCAGGTGGGGCTTGTGCCATAGCCAGGTACCGGGGAGTTCTTGGAGCGCCCCCCCCGCCCATGCCCCGTGTGCTCACAAGGCTGCGGAGCTCAGGTGTGCCAGTGGGTGTGTCCCTGAGAAGCTGCTTTTAACTCGCACCAGGAGCCACGCGCAGGTGTTGCAAACCCGTCCCCGCTGTACGAGTGTGCAGAGCGGGCTGCATGTGGTGTCGGCGGGCGCGGGTAGCCCACGAGCGCCCCGGAGCCCTGAGTGTGTCTCCACGCTCGTGTGTGTGTGTGTGTGTGTGTGTGTGTGTGCATTCACGCACAGAGATGCGTGGAAGAGGGTGTGGGCGTGCGCAGCGGTCACACCTGAACCTGGGCCTGGAGTTCACCTAAGTCGCCTCCTTAGGCAGCTGGGACGCCTGGGGAATAGAACAACTGACCTCTTGGGGTGCCTTCTGCATAAAACACCGGGCAGAACCCAGAGTCCGGCAGCGAGGGGGAGTCGTCCCCTCCCGCACCCCGCTCTTTCGTCTTTGAAGGTCTCAGGAGTGGGAAGCAGAAGCTTCTGGAATCTTCAGTCAGAGCTTGTCAGGGAAGCCACAGACAACGGACACAGAAAGGGTTTGAGTCCCAGCTGGGACTCAGTGCCCCGTGGAGGGAACCAGAGGCACCTGGGGGAAGGCAGGGCGTGGCAGCAACAGCTGAGAACCGGGCCCCAGCCTCGGCCAGGAGTCTACCCAGCTTTGTTGCTCCAAGGCTGGGCGACTTGGGTAAGTCACTTAGCTTCTCTGAGCCATTTCCTGGGCCGAAAGCCAGGGTTAGGCGGAAACATGGGGCAGCGTGGACTAGCACAGGGTAAGGAATGGGGGCCTGAGGGCCATAAGCTGTAGGGTTCCTAGGTTCCTTCCCGTCCTGTGGGGAGGTGGCGTCACTTTGGGAGTGTGTGTGCCAGGTGCAGTAAAAGCAGACGTTTCCAGGGGGATGACAGGGAGGTGACTCAGGAACTGGGTGCTGGACATGTGTGCCCCTCCCATCTTCCATTCCATTGGCTGCCACTGCCTCAAAGCCATCCTTATGCCCCCTCCCCCTTTCCTCTTCCCCCTTCCCCCTTCCCTGAGCCCGAGGCTAGTGGCTGCGAGTGTGCCTCCAGCCCAGCTTCCAAACCTTGTTCATCCTCAGTATGATGAGCTCTTCCACCTCTTTGGGCCTCAGTTTGTTGACCTGTAAAATGGGCACAGTGACCTCTGCTATAAGAGGTCAAGGCAAATCCATGCACAGCAGGCACCGTGAGCCTGTAATGGTGACAACTGGCAGGGACCGAGACTAGGATGAGACCCCCCCACACCCCCACACACACTGCAGGAGAGAAAAGGGAGGACAAGGACAGGGGTGAGGAACTGGGAAGACAGCGTGGAGAGAAGGCATATGTGTGATTAGAGGCAGAGAAATTAAAAGTAGAGATGAGAAGCTGGGAATGGTGGGGTTTGCCTGTCATTCCTGCGCTCAGGAGACTGGGGCAGGAGGATGACAAGTTTGAGGCCAATCTGGGACACAGTATAAGAGTCTCCCCTGTTCCCCATGAGACTGAGGTAGCCCCTTGTTCCTCATCCCAGGGTTTCTTTGGGGATAGGTAGAGATGTTGGGGGACTTGAGTCTCAGCTACCCTGCAGGCTGGCAGAGGGGCAGAGGCCTCTTAGGCCAGAAGCTGGCATCTTTGAGGCAGGGGTCACACAGGTGTCCTGTATTCCTCACCGTTGTCTCCGTTTTTTTGTAGCCTTACCATTTCTAGTCATGTGTATGTGTGGGTATGCACACACGAGTGCAGTGCCCGTGGAGCCCAGAAGAGGGCGCCAGAACCCTAGTGTTGCAGCTACAGGAGGTTATGAGCTGCCCAGCACGGTGGCTGGGAAGCCAGCCCTGGTCCTCTGGATGAGTGGTGAACACTTAGTCCTGGGTCTGATTATAAAACAACCTCTGGGTAGAATCTTATGCCACAGTGGCTATCAAAATGTTGAAAACCAAAGGGACAGGATGGAGCTCTGGCGTAGATCGCTTGCCTATCGTATGCAAGGCCTTGGTTTGACCCACAACACCATGAAGTTGACTTCCTAAGGATGCTCTCTCTGTCCTCTGCCCATGGGAGAGAGCAACAGGTTGAGTTTTTTTCCTTTCAAATCCGTGGTGTGAAGCTGGGTGTAGTGGCACACTCCTGTCATCTCAGCAGTAGGGAGCTGGGCGCTGGAGGATCAGAAGTTCAAGGCCAGCCTCAGCCACATGGTGAGTTTGAGGGCAGCCTGGGCTACATGAGATCCTGTCTCAAAACGAATGAACTAATGAAAGAATAAAATCAAACCACGGTGTGCCAAAGCATCTCCTTGAGGCTAGAGTGAGGTAGGTGTGTGATTGAGTTGGGTCCCCATCCCCCCCCCCCCCATGCAGCTAGCCCATTGGCTCAGAGTCCCCTGAAGTCCAAGTTTGTCTTTTTGTTCCTGGTTTCTGGGACTGGCTCTTCCACCTACTCCTGAGCGTCTGCTCAGCGTGAGTGAATCCTTCCTGGCTTCTCATCCCGTCCTTGTCCTTCTCCCTCCTCTCTCTGTCATCCTGAGGCCGCGGCAGTCTCGGTATCTGACGGGAAAGTTCTCCCACTCCGGCGGTCTTCAGATGAGTTCCAGCCGCTCTCAACCCCTGTGACTTCATAATAATTTAAAGTGGCAGTTTCGGGAGAGGCCTAGCTGTGGTTTCAATGGGAACGGCCTGAATTTATAGACACGCTGAGGAGGGCAAGGAAGACCTTCACCCTGGACAGTGTCTGGGCCGTGACCACAGCCGTTCCCGGCTCAGCTCCCTCACAGAGGAGCCAGCAGGCTCTGGGGCTCTATGGCACGGGCACCAGGCAGGTTCCCCGGGGAAAACAAACTCTCCCACTCCAGCCAAATGAAGATTTATCATGAAAAAAAAACCAAACTGATTTATAGTCATAGAAAATAATTATGGAAGCCAGTGAGATGGCTTGGCTGGGGAAGTCCCCAGCCGCCAAGCCTAAGGCCAACCCCCAGGACCCACGTGGCAGGAAGACAAAACCGGCTCCTGTAAGTTGTCTTTTTTAAAATTACTTTTATGCTCATTCCTGTGTGAGGGTGTCAGAAGCTCTAGGACGGAGCTGGGCATTGGTGGGGTACACCTTTAATTCCAGTTCTCCAGAGGCAGAGGCAGGTGGATCCCTGTGAGTTCGAGGCCAGCCTGGTCTACAGAGCAAGTTCCAGGACAGCCTCCAAAACAATACAGAGAAACCCTGTCTCAACCCCCCCCAAAAAAAAAAGCCCTGGAACTGGAGTTACAGACAGGTTTGAGCCTCCATGTAGTTGCTGGGAATTGAACCTGATTCTCTGGAAGAGCAACCAATGCTCTTAACCTCTGAGCTGTCTCTCTGGACCTGCAAGCTGTCTTCTGGCCTCCACATTCTTCTCTGTCACCTGCCCACTCCTCTGCAAATACGTAGATTGGTAGCAACTTTTTTTTTTGTTGTTGTTTTTGTTTTTGTTTTTTTCGAGACAGGGTTTCTCTGTATTGTTTTGGAGGCTGTCGGTCCAGGCCGGCCTCGAACTCACAGAGATCCGCCTGCCTCTGCCTCCCGAGTGCTGGGATTAAAGGCGTGCGCCACCACCGCCCGGCTGGTAGCAACTTTTTAAATAAATATATATATATATATTTAAGTAATTAAGGCTGCGTGTGTGGCTCAGTACTAAATTACTTGGTCTAGCATGTGGGAAGCCTAGGCAAGGTGACCAACCCAGTGTCCCAATGACATATCTTGTTTCAAGAAATATGATGGGTGGTGTCTGAGGTTGACTTCTCCACATGCCTATATATATGCAAACGCATGTGTGTTTGCTTGTGCAATATAGTCCATTAAACAAATTTAAGATGATACTAAAAATAAGGGGCCAGTAAATTCGTGTGTGTGTGTGTGTGTGTGTGTGTGTGCTGTCTGTCTGTCTGTCTGTCTGTCTGTCTGTTTGATGTCCTTTCTTTGGGAAGCACAGTGTGACAGAAGATAAGGAATACCCACGACCCTGCTCCAAACTTGCAGACATCAGTCTGATCAGTGATATTTCCGACATCTAAACACTGCCTTAGCACCCGGATAAATCACTCTTGTCTTCCTCCTCGATGGAACGATATTCCTCTGTCCATTCAACCAGGATGTTTTGTTGGGGCGTGTGTGTGTGTTTTTGGGGGGTCAGAACCAGTTACCCAGCTACCTTGGCCTTGCTGTCAGTTACCCGTGGTCAAAAGAGTTCTGAAAATGTAAAATGTAAATTCCAGGGTGACCACAGTCATCTAAGTTTCCTGACAGTGGGCCATTATATTGCTTCATTGTTTATGACTGCTTTGGCTAAACTCGCCGTGTCGTCTAATGAAGAAATTACGCTTCCTCACGGATAAGTGTGTATAAGAAAGACACCGTGTATGATCTGAGGTTTCAGGGGTCCCGTGTGGGCCTTGGAGAGTGACCCCTGCACCTAAGGCGAGTTGTCAGTGTATGATCTGAGGTTTCAGGGGTCCCGTGTGGGCCTTGGAGAGTGACCCCTGCACCTAAGGCGAGTTGTGGGTGGGGCAATGTTGAGGTCTTGGGGCCAGTGAGGGCAGGAGCAGCTCAAACTTGAGGGCCACGGGAGGGAGGCTGGGAACCAACAGCCCCAACTTCCTCTCTTTCCACCCTTTGATCTCCTAACAGGCGTCCCATTGGTCAATCCACGTGTTAGTCAGACAGCAAGGGCGCCTGGGAGTTGTAGTCCATTGAGGTCAGCAGGTGCAGGCCGAGTGAATGGGGGAGGAGGACTAAAAGGGATCAGTCACACAGACGATGCGATTGTTTATTTAAGTAGTGTTCGCACTGGAGGGGAGTCGGGCCGGAGAGCCTGTCCCACTAGTGGGCTTCCTCAGTAGTTCTTACGGGCCATGGGGATTGGCACCTGGTGGAGGCCCGGATCCTAACTTTGTGACCCTTTCTTCCTCCCCACCAATCTTAGATCGCTGCAGGCAAGCTTGGCCTCTGCCCCTACTCTGCCCCCTGCACCCTCGTGACCTGAAACTTGCCACTTCTCCGGACTTGAAGTGTCCCGCCTGCAGTCTGGGAGCGGCAATTCCTGCCTGTGACACCAAGAGCCAGCGGCTTCTGCGTATTCCCGGTGCTGCACACACAGCCTTGTCACGCCATGGGAACATTATCGCGCTGGCTCCCACGCGGAAAAGCAGTCACAGAGGTAAACTGGGTTGTCCGGGTCTCTAAGCTGCAAGCGACACAGCCAGACTCAGCAGCCGGTCTAGCCACTCTGCCTTGAGAACAACCGGTATTTATCTGTGGTTTATTAAATTGTGAGGTGTTGGCAGCCAGTAGGCACTTTGTAAGGTGGTGGCTGCCAGCACGGTGTAGAAGGGATTGCTGCCTTGGTCCTTGCAGTCCGTGAGGGCAGAGGCTGGGCGGTGGACTCGACCATGCCCCAGCCTCCCAGAGTCTTCCCTTGCAGGCGGCTGCCAAGCTGTGTCCTCTCTCCCTGACTCTCTCAGGATGTTCGCACTTACAGATTAATTCTTGCTTCACTCCTTGCCTGGCAGCTGTGATGGGTGACGCCGGCTTCTCAAAGGGCATTTTCCTTTTGTTTCAGCTCTGATGCCGAGATCTCGAATATCATTATGTGTGGGGCTGAGGACCTGCCGGCGTCTTCCGAGGAAATCTTGTACAGTGTCTGAATTTCTCCAAGGGTCCTGGCTGCCTCAGCTTTCCGGATGGACTGCCCAAGAAGGGCATGTGCCTGTGCTCCGGTTGTGATTTCCTAACATCCACCTGGGGGAGTGGGTGGCACAGGGAGTCCAGACTCATCAGGGACCTGCTGCGTTTCTCTCTGTTAAAAAAATAAAAATGGAAAGAATTTTATAACGACAACATTGAAAATTGTATTGCCTTAGTTCCAAGGTCACTTGTTTGCTGAGAAAGTCTGAATTTCATGGCTTTCATGGATCACCCATAATAATATCACTTCCTAGAGCTAACTCTATTTAGGGGGTTAATACCTAACTGCTTAATTCATTATTGCTGAGTTGGAGACGGTTACGGATGCGGCTGGAACAGGAGCCCCCATATCTAATAAGGCTCAGGCTGACGACGTGCGTGGAGCATGGCTGGGAGAGAGACGGCTGAAATTTATTTTGTGAATAAAGCAATAAGCAGCTAAACAAAGCTAATATGTTTCAGCGGAGACAGAAAGACACGATCATTCAGTATTTATGCAGCAGCCCATTCCTCAGTGGGACTGCAAGTTGCCGCCATTAAAATGGTCGGAATTCTTCAGAGACTCAGCTGTATTAAGTCATTTAAAAATATCACAGACTTAAAACAATCTGAATTATTGGATTTCCTTGCTGCTCCTGGGTAAGCATGTTTGCTGTGGCAATTTCCTGCTTGGTCAAAGGTGCAGCCTGATTCAGAGAGGAATGAAGAAAAGTTGTTGGCAGAATCTTCATGTGATACCAAATGGCTGTGGCAAAACTGAATCTTGATTTCCCGTCTATAGCTCTGACTTTCAATTTTTGACATAAATTTAGACTCTACCTCAAGGAAATGTAAACATGTGTGGGAGACAGAACCCTCAAATGTTAGTGTGTGTGCCGTTCAGAGAGAGAGAACTGGGTAGGTCTTGTCTTTGTTTGCATGGTTTGAGTTAGTTTTGAGTTAGTCACAGACATGACTTCTCCACTGTTTTTTTCTGCAAACTAACCACTTCTGTGTGGTTCCTAAAAACAAAGCTATTTGGTTACACGGGACACAAGGCAAGGATCCAATTCAGAGGGTTAACGTTGATAGAATATGCTATCTGATGACTTTGGTCCAAATTTGCCATTGAGTCCCGTTGATGGCCTTTGGAGACAAAGAAAACCCCTGGCTGCCCCTTGTAATCACTTTGTCAAATTGCTTTGGCTTTTTCCAGCCTGGAATATGTGCTCTGTCCCTCTGTTTGTTTGGAGTGCCACTGACATTTTTTTTTTCGAAGAGAGCAGCCCATTTATTTTGGAGAATTTCCCCCTCCATTTGGGAAAGCATGATATTTCTTCACAATTAAATTTAGACTCTGCACTTTGGACAGGAATACCACCCAGGCACAAGTCTTCTCGGTACACCATACCAGGGATCTCACCACAGCAGCATGTCCCGTGGAGGCAAAGTCAGACATATGTTAAAATACTCTTTCATCTGAAGCTCTGTTTCTTAAACGTGCTTTGAAAAGGTCTCACAATCTCTAGTTGTTTTTTTTTTAATTTCTATTACAGGTTTTTCAAGAACAGACTCAAAGACACAGAAGCTGCAAGCTGTACAGATCTTCAAGAAGAAAATGTAGCCATTTAAAAAAATTGCAACGCATTACTTATGAAATTTGCCTAAATTCATTTTGCAGAATGAGAGCTGTAATTTGAAGGCAGAGTTATCGAGAGAGGAAATAAACCACACGTCACGTGCAATTTAATCTGGCAGGGAAATGGGCCACTCGGAATTGCTAACTCGGCCTAATTCGTTTCGTCTCTGGGAAAGCTCCGCTTTTGGTCTGAGTCTTTTCAAACTCCCGAGTTAATGTATTTGCCCAGACGTCACAGAAAAAAACGTATGAGGACAGTAAGAGAAATACTGTATTCTACTTTAAATCACGCTACAGTTTTTAAACAGCTGGAGTGATGGCTGGGAGCGATCACACCTTCTCCTGAAGCATTTAAGGAACAGTTATTTACATTACATTAAAAACTTTAATTGCCTCGGAGCACGTGCTCGGAGACACAAATATTGGAAAATCATCAAAAATATCCATCATGATTCTCTTTCCTTTACAACTCTTCTAAACTTCATCTTTTTTATAACCCACAGTATTGATCTATTGTCCCAGACCAAGAGTGATGCCAGAGTCCAAGCTGGGTCATAAAAAGAGAATATAATTTCGGTTGGCTGTCCATAAAAGCTGGTCTTTTGACAGAGAAGTGTGTGTGTGTGGTGGGACCATGGCTCTTCTTTTGGAAAGGGAAGCAAATGGAGGTGATGTACCGGGTAGCTGTCTTGGGTCAGGCGAGGAGGGTCACGAGGAGTTTGGGGGGCTAGTGTGTTTAGGCATGATGGGATTCTGAGTTCCTTCTGGAGGGTGAAATGCTGGGAGGGGCCTGAGGGCTCATAGACACAGAAAGAGAAAGAAAAAATGTGAAATATGACCCCTTTGTCGCCTCCTTAGTTCAGGGTCTGAGGAACTGCCAAAGGCTAGGACCTCCCCTCCTTGGGCTAAAGATCAGTTCTCCAAAGACAACGAAAATGCAGGAACGCTATGCTGCAGAGGGCTGGGGGTCCCCTGGTGGGTTGACCACAGTAATGATTACATGACCCCCACACAGTGGCTAGAGGCCTGGGGCCCCTCAACCTATCCAAGCAGGTGTCGCGGAAGGCCTCTGCCAAGGTTTCTCCAGGAACACCCTGCGGTAATGACCACTCCACGCCAGGGCCTTGCACGGTAAAGTTGTGGGGTGAGCTACGCCCTCTAAATAATAACAACCATCAAAGCCCTACTGCGAAGACTCAACGCACAGACACACAGCGTCCTGGGTCCCCAGCCGGGACCACGACCCCCTTCTCGCGTCCGAAGGACTCCCGTGTGGGCGAGCACAGGGTTAGGCGCCGGAAGACTTTCCCACGGCTCCGGGGCGCCCCCTGGCGGCCGCCACCCGCAGCGCACGGAGGCGAGTGACGCGCGGGGGACTTGGGCCGGCCGGGCGCGCGTGTGCCCCGTGCTCCCCTCGCGCGAGGCCACGCGGAGACCGGCCCCACGCGCTGCAGAGCGCTCACTTTGTTCTTTGCGGTCCCCTTCGCCCGCGGCCCCTCCGCGCTCCCGCCGCGTCCCCCCCCCGGCGCATCGATCCGCGCGCGCGGCGCCGTCGATAAGTTTGCGAGAAGCCAAAGTCAAGTGCGTGCGCGCGGAGCCGGGCCGCGCTCCCGGGGTCCAGCCCGGGTGTTGGCGGCAGCCGCATCCCCGGCCGCGCGCCCGCCCCCAAGATGGCGGCCGAGGGGGGACCGCGGGGGGCCCGGGGGCCGAGGCCGGCCAGGGCGGCACGGGCGACCAGGGGGCCGCGCGCGAGACGGCGCCTGGACCTGCGGCGGCTGCAGGTGAGCCGACCAGCCTGCCTTTGTTCGCCGCCGGCTCGACCGGCCGCCGGGACGTGGGAGCCTCCGGGGCGGGAGGAGCGCGGGGAGCACGGAGAGCGCGGGGAGCGGGACGCGGCTGCGCAGCCGCCCAGCCGTCACCGCCGCCACCGGCTGCTGCAGCCCGGACGCTCGGGGCACCTCCCGGGACGATCCCTGCGGGTTAGTCTCTGCGTCTTGCTCCCCCCCGTCCTTGGGTTTGCTCACCCCCTCCGCCTGCTTTCCCTCCCTCCGCCTGCTTTCTGCCACCCTCCTTCCCGTCTCTGTCCTGGCACGCTCCCGTGTAGCTTTTCTTCCCCTCCTCTTGCTTGCTCCCCGGTCTTGCTCCCCTCCCCCCTCCCCCCCTCCGCTCCATCCTTGTTCCCCGGCCTGGAGCCTGAGGCCCGAGCGCGCGCAACTTTGCGCACCTGCCGCGGGGCGGAGCAGGTGCGCGGGCTGCGGCCCCTGGGAACTTTTGCACCCGCGGCCCGGGCTCGTGGTCCTGCCTCGCCCGCTCCCGCGTCCTGCTCTCACTGCCCCGGGTCCCCCTGGTCCCCCCTCGCTCCCCTCTCCTTCCCTGGGGCGACGCTCTCCGCAGCCCCAGCACTTTTTCCGCTGTTCTTGGTGCGCGGGCTCCGGGTGCCTCGGGGTTGGGATGTTTGCTGCCATCTCTCTGAGGCCCCGGTTTTGGGGGGGGGTCTCGCAGTACCCCAGCTAGAGACACACCCGGGTGCTCAGCATGCCCTCAGAGGCTCCCCACGCCCTGCAGTCGGGCAGAGTCGTGGCAGGTGCGGCGACGGCCAGGGGCGGGGAAGCCGTGCAGATAGCCGCGCTGTGAGAGCGTTCTGCCTGGCCAGTGACATTCTCAGAAGACGTGACAGCACGTCTGGAGATTAAAAAAAGGGGGGGGGAGGACCCACTCTCTCTTTTTTAATCTGCCCGCAGATCTCGTTAAGTTGCTTCTGATAAGTGGCTCCAGCCCCGCTCTTCTCTGTCCCCACTTCTCGCTCCCCTCCTCCCTCAAAGCCATTGAGCCGGAGAGAAAATCGGGGCACTCAGGCATGCAGTTAATAACTGCTAGAGCCGTGCAATCCCTGGTCCGCGCCCGAGTTGAGGCTACAGTTTGGTGGCCGGCTGAGATGGGCAGGGTTGTAAGCTGTGCTTGCTGATTTAAGGGATGCTAAAAGTGGCCTTTGGTGGGGGGTGGGGGAGAGAGAGAGAGAGAGAGAGAGAGAGAGAGAGAGAGAGAGAGAGAGAGAGAGAGAGAGAGAGAGAGAGAGAGAGAGAGAGAGAGTTGGGTAGCCACGTTGGGCTTGGCACGAAGGCCAATGGTAATCGTATTCCCTGCTAATGTTTGTAAATGAGACCCGGGCAGGCTGGGGGACAGCGTCTTTATTTATGATTGATGTTCTGTAACATAAGGAATGACAAGAACGCGGCAGACGAGAGGGGAGCGAGCAGCTGGGCTGGCGGAAGCCCTTAGCCGGGTGCTATTGTTATTCTGCTGGAGAGAATTGCCACGGTGAGGTTTCCAGCGCCGGTATTTGCCCGTGTTTGCCCGGGGTCGGCGGGAATGCCAGTTAACACAATTCTCATTAGATAACTCGCTTTCCATCCAGGAGCCCGGGCTGCGGGCTTGGTGGGAGAGAGACTGGCCTGGGGCTGAGGGCTGGGTGCGGCTTCCCGCATTGGTTTCTGAGCTGGGGGTGTTGATGCCTGGTGCCCCTGGTCTTGGTGGG